ACGAGAGTACCTCGATGATTTTGTGTCGGCATACGTCGACGACATAATAATCTACTCTAACGGAACGCTAGCGGATCACCGCCGAAAGGTCGGCGATGTTCTACAGAAACTAATAGACGCGGGTCTTCAATGTGACATCGCGAAGTCAGAGTTTGAGCAGAAATCGGTTAAATACCTTGGCTTTATTGTCGAAGCCGGGAAGGGGATCCATGTTGACCCAAAGAAGGTAGAGGCTATTAGGGCATTGGAGAGACCGAAGTCTATACGAGATGTGCGAAGCTTTATTGGTTTTGCGAACTTCTACCGGCCGTTTATCCCCCGATTCGCCGACCTTTCGGCACCCTTAACACGGCTTATAAAGAAAGACGCTATCTTCGAATGGGACGATAATTGCCAACAGGCCTTCGTGGAACTAAAGGAACTCTTTATAAACGCACCGATCCTAGCTCATTTCGAGGAGGATCGTCAAACAGTCGTAGAAACTAACGCTTCTAGCTAGGCTACTAGGGCGGTCCTATCGCAATACGGGCCTAATAGGCAACTACGGCCATACGCCTATCTCTCCTAGAAGCTATCTCCAGCAGAATTAAACTACGAGATCCACGATAAGGAGCTTCTAGCGATTATACGTACCCTACGCGAATAGAGACCTAAGCTGAAAATGGTGCCTCGATTCACTATCGTGACGGACCATAAGAACCTCCGATACTTTAGTAAAGCACAATATCTAGATAAACGGCAGATACGCTAGGCGGATCTCTTAATAGAGTTCGATTTTGACCTCCGCTATCGCCCTAGTAAGCTTACAGTGAGGCCGGACGCACTATCACGACGGAGCCAGGATATGCCATAGAGCATCACCGACGAAAGGCTATCGAATCGCTTCCGAGTCCTACTCAAAAAGGTCAAGATCAAAATAGGACGGTTAGACCCTCAACCAGCCGACCACCAATCAAACGAAGCGATCGACTTTAAAAGGGATATTCCCCTCTTCGAAGAAGAGGAACTCCAGGCAGAATAAAAAAGGGCAAGGGCGTCTAACTCGATCTACCAACGAATCTCCCACGCTTTACTAACGGGAGAGCGCCGAATCGCTGCCGAGACATACATTAAGACAAGCCTATCAGAGTGCCACTTAGACGATCGAGGAGTGCTTCATTTCAGACAACGAATCTTGATTCCTGATAACGAGGTTCTACGCACAGGGATCATACAAAAGATCCACGATTCACACGTCACGGCGCATCCTTGGCGAGACGCTACCTATTCGATACTATCTCGACGGTTCTTCTGGCCAGGAGCAGCGAAGGATATACGACGCTTCCTTCGGAATTATACAATCTGCGGACGGAGCTCAGTATGGCGAGACACAAAGCATGGGCTATTGAAACCCCTACCTATTCCTCAGCGAATCTGGGCCGAAATATCAGTGGACTTTATCACCGGACTTCCACCCTCCAGACCTACGGGGGCAACGAACTACATAGTGATAACAGATCGGTTAACGAAGGGCGTGATTCTAATCGGAATAAAGAATACGACGGCAGAAGATTTAGCAGAGGTGTTCTTCACACACTTCTATATGCATCATGGGGTGCCACTAGCGATTGTAAGCGACCGCGGCCCCCAATTCGTGAGTTCTTTCTGGGAAAGGGTATGCGAAAGGCTATCGATTCAACGCCGATTATCCACGGCATTTCACCCCCAGACCGACGGTGCAACAGAGCGTGCCAATCAGGAGATCGAACGAATTCTACGTTTGTTCACTACGTACTCACAGGATAACTGGAAGGATCTACTACCAATAGTCGCCGTGGCGATTAATAATCGCGATGCCGCTTCAACTGGAATCTCGCCATTCTTCTTCACCCACGGTTACCACGTTGACCCGATTGGCATTGACGAAGCAGGGCAGCTAGAAGGCGCCCTGACCCCACCACGAAAGGCAGGCGAAACGTTCGTGAATCGCCTACGAGAAGCCACCGATTGGGCCCAGGCCGCTATCGCTTCCGCACAGGCCCTTCAAGAGGAGCAAGCGAACCGACGTCGACAGGCTGCGCCTGTCTATAAAAAGGATGATTGGGTTTGGCTAAACCTTCGGAACATACGCACACGACGACCGTCAAAGAAGTTGGATTGGCTACATGCTCGATACCGAGTAGTAGACGTTCCGTCACCGTTTACCGTCCGACTCAATATGCCTACTGGCATACACCCAGTGTTCCATATTGAACTAGTTCGTCCGGCAGTAACGGACCCGTTCCTATCTTAGCTAGTAGACGATTCGCAGCCACCACCACTACTAGTTGACGGAGAAGAGGAATACGAAGTCGAGCAGATCCTAGCTATACGACGGAGGAAGATCGGACGAGGATATCGTGACGAAGCGCTGGTGAAATGGAGAGGATGGGCTGAGCAAACGTGGGAAACGCTAGATTTAGTGCGGGATTGCAGCGCCTTAGATACCTTTGAGGAGCAGCACGGCACCGTTTCGGAGGTGATTCGCTAGTAAATCGGCACCGAAGCCTATGCCGTCGTGCCCCTAATGAGATTAAGACTAGGAGGGGGGTATTATCACGGGCCAGTGCCCGATATAGGTCACGTGTATCACGAGACCTTGGTATGTTGACGTAGAGAACGCGTAGGATAAACTTCCCCTCCTTAAGCTTTTTGTAAACAGCATATTGGCCTAGTTAGATTGAATCAAGTCTTACTTTAGCCCTTCACAGGAGTAACAATAGAAGTAAGTATATAGGGCGGTGGCAGAACGGAACGTACGGGGAAGGCTATATAGTAGGGCCACATAGTAAGAAGCGGGTCTAACCCGTGATATTACCCCCTCCTAGGGGTCGTCGTCGGAGGGATAAGCGTCATACGGCGTAGGCCGTCTACTAGACGCGCTGGAAGAACGGGAGCGGGAAATAGGGCAATCGGAAATCCAATGATTTAAGGAGCCACAGTAGTAGCACTAGCTAAGTAGGCTTCGTCGAGCACGACGGTATTCGCGATCTTCATCGGTATAGAGTATGGCTATGTCGATCTTATCCTTAAGGTATTTTACAGGATCCTTCGGGGGCTCTAGGGCTAAACTAGTAGGTATAGCTAGCTTAATTCTGGCTGTTCGTACGCGAATCGGGTCAAGGTCCATTAGGTCTAGCTAGCTTTAGCGAGACTAGGTCTAGCGGGTCTAGTTCTGGCTAATCTAGTTCTGGCGTTACTAGTTCTAGCGTTACTAGTTCTGGATAATCGGGCGCTACTAGCGGCGATCGTAGCGCTAGAGTAGTTCAATATAATCATCGTATTCGAGATCGAATAGAGTATCATAAGATTACTCGAGGATCTGGCGTAACGTAGGCCGTAGGCCACGGTGTAGGGTAATCGTACGAAGGAGATCTTACTAATAGACCTTAGCTTCATGCGATAGACGTTCGAATCGGGCGAGGTAGGCGACTAGGCTTTCGTCGTCTTTCTGGCGGATATTAGCGAATCGTAGCACTGTATCTTATTTCTCACGAGGGTTATAACAAAGACGTTCGAAGTACTAGAAGACTACTTCGGGTGTTGGGTTAGTTTCGCGAAGATATAAGACTGAGGCTTGCTGGGATGGCTTAAGGCGATCGTAAACGTAGTCAAATGCTAGTTGACCGACTAAGCCGTCCGACCGTAGCTTTGCTTAAATAGCTAGAAGCCACGTCTTTAGACTAAATAGTCGGCCGTCGAATCTAGGCGGATCTGGTAATCTGAACTAGGGTCGAGTAGGCGTAAGGGCTTCCAGCTGGCGTTGCTGGTCGACGAGTTGTTGCTGGAGTTGCTGGATTAAAGCGAAAAGGGGCTGGTTCTGGTCCATTTCGGCGGGGAATCGGGGGTCTGGCTATGAGGAAAAGAAAATCTGGCTGGCTGACTGGATCTGGTACGACTCGATCACGAGAAGGAAGCTTTTTGTATGTGAAGGGCTGAAGTAAGACTTAAATTCAATCTAACTAGGCCAATATGCTATTTACAAAAAGCTTGGAGAAGAGAAGGAGTGGATCAAGCGGAGTAATAATAGAAGTAAGTATATAGGGCGGTAGCAGAACGGAACGTGCGGGGAAGGCTATGTGATAGGGCCATATAGTAAGAAGCGGGTCTAACCCGTGATAGGGTCGGCCTATGGGCCGGCCCACTGGCCTTCGAAATTCGAGTAAAGGCGTCCCCCCCTAGGTTTGATCGAATCTACAACTTTTTCTCACTCTTCTGCGTGTACCTTAAGATGAATTTAAACTACTTCCCGCGCCTGGATTATGAAACAAAAAGCTTTTATAAATAAATTAGACTATTCTCCGTTATATAACACTGAAAAACCTACTCAAAAAATGATACCCATTAAGATATCAAAAATTTAACACTTAGAGCAGAAGGATACACTTAATCATCAACACAGAGTTATATAGTTATTTCTGAGTTAGACGAGAGTAAGTAAGTCGTAATCTATTCTGTAATTTGCCATAGCTAAGGGCGAAGAATTAAGACGGCTATAAATTACGCTAGTAACTTTAGATATTTAGCATATTAATTATACATATCTAGGGGCTAAATAGGTCAAATGGGCCAAATCGTGGGCCGACTGACCCATTCATGGGCCGACCCAAATGGGTCGGCCCACGAGGTTTTTGTCCATGGGCCGGCCCATGCCTAGGCCTATGCGAATCTACCCCATCATCTTCCTCTGGCTGGTTTAGCTGCGTAGCTAGCTATATAGCCTCTTTAATGGTTAAACCCTCTTCGTAGGGTATCTTCTTAGTTGACCGATTACGCTTTTTGACCATCTTCTTATTCGCCATACGCAAATTCGCGTTGTCCTCTGCTAGTAGTGCACTACTATGAAGCGCTAGCTAGAACCCCTTAATCATCTAGTCTAGGATCTCCTTTGATGGGCTCGGAGGGCTATTTGACCGCCGTTTTAGTAGATCTTTTAACATAGAAGCTTGCTTGAATAGCTAAGTAGCGGTTCTAGGCGTTTGTGGTGTGAATTCGCTAGATCTACTGCTTAGCCGGCTATTTGGTAGTGTTGGAGTTCGTAGAGAGATATTAAGCTTATTAAGTACTCTCTCAGCATCTAATGGTACTAGACCGCTAGCTACGAAGCTGTTTTTGATAGTAGGATTGGTTGATTAGAACGCTTCTAGCCGCGCGTGCTGGTAATCCACTAAGAAATCGTGCTTGTCGATATGGTTATATCCTCTACGCGCAAGATCGCTAACGAAGCGACCGTACGCGCGCTTAACCACTGCAAAACACCCAACATCTAGTGGTTATAGTAGATGCGATGAATGCGCAGGCATGCAAAGAGGTATAATATCGTTTTCTGTGCAGATTCGGTCGAATTAGGGTGTAAGGTGGCTACCATGACCATCAAGAATCAATAGCCGAAACCGACCTCGTACGCGCGAATTCGTATATGGTATAAAGATCTTTTATAACCAGCGTAGGCCAATCTCATAGGTAGTCCAACCGTTAGCAGAGACCTCGATTCGCCAGTCTTTCGGTAGATTTTCGTTAAACTATCCTACAATAGCTACTTTGCCTTTAAAGACTATATATGGCGGTAGTGAATAACCATCTACGCAGATTGCTTCGATCGTAGTAACCCATTCGCGATTTCCTGGTTATAGAAGACGTGGCCGACCGTAGTATTCAGCTCTTGTAACCACTTTCTGCGAAGATATAAGGCCCATTGCAAAGCCTGTCTCATCAAAGTTGTAGATATCCTCCGGTTATATACCCTTGTCATCGATTGTGCGCTATACGGTCGTAACCCACTGCCGAATCGATTTCGGATCTTCGTTTAGGGCTCTTTAGTAATCATATCTTCGCGAGAAGCGAGATAGAAGCTCATCGCGGCGTTTAATAAAGCTTGATGGCTAATTAACACCAACAGTAGGCGGAGGGTTACTACCGCGCGTAGCAAGCAGGATATTAGCCATTTCTCCCACAGTAGCCGGTCTAGGCGCTGCTCCACGTGAATCCATAGATAATATCCACTCAGCAAGCGTATCCTCTTCGGTTTAGGTCAATTTATGACTAGATAGGCGCTTATTAACGCGTGAGACGCGGCCATCGGCGCGCGTATGTAGGGTAGTGTAGGGTATCTCATATAGCTTTGCTGCTGCGCGGATAGAAGAGATACGGCCCTCTTTTAAATCAGAAAGGGCTAATAGGATCTTGCCCTCTTAGTTAGCCAATTTATGGCTAGATTCACTGCGAATTAGTGGCATGGTAGGTGGTTGAATTAATCAGGTTAGTAGAAAGACGCGAATTTAGAAGGGGTGATCCGGTCGGCCGTGTGATCCGGTCGGCCGTGGATTACGTTAATAGATAAGAGATTAGTCTTAATAAGTCCTTATACCTAGTGGATCTGATTTAAATATTCAATAATCAGATTATCTATAGGGTTCTCTTAAGGCTGTTTAGTTATATCCGCTTCCGGGAACTAGGGTGGAGTTTCTAGGATCTCCGGGGTTCCTAGAATCTCGATTAGTGTCTTTAGGATCCCTATACCCTATTCTTAGGAATCGTCGGATAGTTCCTAGGAGTCGATGGTGTTCTAGGGACCGTACTAGGTCTATCCTTAACTCTCGATGTTCTCCTCTTCCTTAGGAGATTCTTCCTTCGCGTACGCTACGCTATTTAGGCCGTGGTATTCCTTATCTAGCTACGTAGTCGTAATACGTGGTTACTTAACCCTAGGTTCTTTTTTAATTAGTGGTTCCTCTACGGCCTACCTAGTGACCTAGTCCTTTAGGTGTTCGTACTCGTCTAGAGTTACCCTAGTAATCGTATCCTTTAGGCGCTTAGCCCTTTCTTAGGTAGCCCTAAGTTACTCCTTAGATTTATTATCCTATATTATCATCTATTCCTCGTTATTAATAGCTCGTAGCTATTAGGGTCATACCTCGTCGTCCTAAGTCGCCCGTAGCTACTATAGCTTTACGTTGTTACGTCCGTTATTACGCTTACGCGCCTATAGCTTTACGTTATTACGCTTATTGTTGCACTTACGCGCCCGATATCCTACTTTTCTATATTTAAAGTATAAGTTATTGTCCTTACGCCGTTTTTCTTCTTCGGTAGGGAGTCTCGCTACGTCGAGCTCTATTAGTCGTGGTCTATAGGGATCGCTATCCCTACTTAGTCGGTTTAGTCGTTTGTTATAGCGATAATACGATAGTCGGCTATTACCTCGTTTCTATCCGTTAATTTCTCGTTTTTCTATTTATCGATCGTATAGTCGGT